AATCAAGTCTGGCTAACCAGTTTCCCTGAATCCCTTCATAAATTTTACAATGCTCACACTATGACAGCATGTCAAGCCACTAAAACCACTTGTCTTCACTCCAGTCTAATATGCTCACTGGACCGGTCCAAAAATACAGTGGTACCTTGTTATGCGACCTTAATTCATTCCAGAAGCCTGTTCGAGTGCCGCTCCATTTGAGTATTGGACAAGTTCTTCCCAGCCAATTTTCTGTTTGGTTGGCTGTTATCACTAATCTTTGTAGGCCCCATGGTGACTTATTTATGCAAATAATACAAAAAACACCAAAAAATGCTTAGAAACATGAAATCAAGGTTCCACTGTACATGTTTATTTTAAAACTTCAAAGGAAATGCACTCCACAATGTAATTTTTATTCTGCTATATGAACCTGTACTGTGTGCCAAAATTTGGACCATTTCATGCATATTTAAAAGTTCCGCAAAAACTTCATCTTTGGTTTCTCTCTATCGCAGATGGCATCCTCAGCACCGAGCACACGAAGTGCATTGGAATGGTGGTTAGTAGGGTGTCCTCTCAAGTTTTTCTCAACTGCCTGGCTTCCAACGTGAGGTGACATACTTCGTATGTCACAATTCTTTCATCTGAAGCAGAACCTACTCTTACTTGTCGCCTTGATCTACATCTGGTTCTGGAACAAGGCTCCATGTGGCGTGCAAGCCCCTTGCAATGACTTGGATTTCCTCCAAACCCTTCGAGTGTATCCAGACAAAGAGATCGCAAATGCTGCTGCCACGTCTGAGGGCAATGTGTGGTGTGAATATAATGCAGATAATTCGTAGTTCGGAAATTAGGAGGTGTGGGATTACCAAAACTATTATTCAGAGCGTTGAGGAGGGGTTGTTGAGGTGGTTTGGACATATAGAGAGAATGGAACAAAGCAAAATGACTTCGAGTGTACATATCTGTGTAGTGGAGGGAAAGCGTGGTAGGGGTCAGCCTAGGAAGGGTTGGAGGGAGGGGGTAAAGGACATTTTGTGTGCGAGGTGCTTGGACTTCCAGCAAGCGTGCATGAGCATATTTGATAGGAGTGAGAGAAGACAAATGGTTTTTAATACTTGACATGCTGTTGGAGTGTGAGCCAAGTAACATTTATGAAGGGATTCAGGGAAACCGTCAGGCCGGACTTGAGTCCTGGAGATGGGAAGTACAGTGTCTACACTCTGAAGGAGGGGTGTTACTGTTGCAGTAAATGTGAGGGTCTTGGCAAGAGGCGTGGAGTTAAAAGATAAAGAATCACACACAAAGTGGGAGTTGTCACAGCTGCTCTTTGCTGATGACACTGTGCTCTTGGGAGATTCTGAAGAGAAGTTGCAGAGATTGGTGGATGAATTTGGTAGGGTGTGCAAAAGAAGAAAATTAAAGGTGAATACAGGAAAGAGTAAGGTTATGAGGATAACAAAAAGATTAGGTGATGAAAGATTGGATATCAGATTGGAGGGAGAGAGAATGGAGGAGGTGAATGTATTCAGATATTTGGGAGTGGACGTGTCAGCGGATGGGTCTATGAAAGATGAGGTGAATCATAGAATTGATGAGGGAAAAAGAGTGAGTGGTGCACTTAGGAGTCTGTGGAGACAAAGAACTTTGTCCTTGGAGGCAAAGAGGGCAATGTATGAGAGTATAGTTTTACCAACGCTCTTATATGGGTGTGAAGCGTGGGTGATGAATGTTGCAGCGAGGAGAAGGCTGGAGGCAGTGGAGATGTCATGTCTGAGGGCAATGTGTGGTGTGAATATAATGCAGAGAATTCGTAGTTTGGAAGTTAGGAGGAGGTGCGGGATTACCAAAACTGTTGTCCAGAGGGCTGAGGAAGGGTTGTTGAGGTGGTTTGGACATGTAGAGAGAATGGAGCGAAACACAATGACTTCAAGAGTGTATCAGTCTGTAGTGGAAGGAAGGCGGGGTAGGGGTCGGCCTAGGAAAGGTTGGAGGGAGGGGGTAAAGGAGGTTTTGTGTGCGAGGGGCTTGGACTTCCAGCAGGCATGCGTGAGCGTGTTTGATAGGAGTGAATGGAGACAAATGGTTTTTAATACTTGACGTGCTGTTGGAGTGTGAGCAAAGTAACATTTATGAAGGGATTCAGGGAAACCGGCAGGTCGGACTTGAGTCCTGGAGATGGGAAGTACAGTGCCTGCACTCTGAAGGAGGGGTGTTAATGTTGCAGTTTAAAAACTGTAGTGTAAAGCACCCTTCTGGCAAGACAGTGATGGAGTGAATGATGGTGAAAGTTTTTCTTTTTCGGGCCACCCTGCCTTGGTGGGAATCGGCCAGTGTGATAATAAAAAAAAAATAATAGATTGAAGTCCCACCTTATTTCATTGTTCAAGTAGGCATGAGGAAGCATTATTATGAGCGAGCAGAGCAACGTCTTACTGGCAGTTGGTATGACAAATGAGCAACCCAACACAACCAGATGCTTTTGAGAGGCTAATAATTTTTCCCTATATAAGACAGAGACCTAATTCCTTTTGAATCTGATAGTCTCATGAAATAAATTATGTTGTTAACTGTTTGTTTCGCTCAAATTCCATGGGAACCCCCCAGAAAATTACAGTATTTGAGGGGATGTTTGGCCAAATTTTGACGTTTGTTCAACTTGACAAGCGAACTGCATGAGATTTTCTGTCGTCACACTATGTTTTCTTTGCTGATTTCAAAAGAGAAAAGATAGGAGAATACAATTAAGAATTTGCATTAACGTTTTTTTCAACTTTTAGTGGGAGAAATCAGCTGGGGAAAACACCCATTTTCAGTGATTTTTCAGTTGAATACATAGTCCAGTGGTTGGCAAAGGTTGATCAAACCAACAATTTCTCATCCAAGAATTCATGACAAATACGTGCTTTATTTAACCCTTTCAGGGTCCAAAGGCCAAATTTCAAAGGGTGCACCAGTGTCCAAGAATTTAAAAAAAAATTTATTTTTTCTTATGAAATGGTAGAGAAACTTTTTCTGAAGGTAATAAAGCAAAAAGTACGAAATTTGATGGAAAACTGACGAAATTATGCTCACGCGAATTTTGATGTGTCAGCGATATTTACGAATCGGCGATTTTGCCGACTTTGACTCAGATTTTAGGCCAATTACATTATTCCAGTCGACCAAATTCTTAGCTATTTCACTAGTATTACTTCTAGTTTATCGACTGAGCACAAGAAATCGCCCAGTCAACTGTTTCAACTACAAAATAAAGTGATCGGAAATTGGTAATTTGGCCAAATTAACACAAAGTTCAAAATATTACAATTTCAAAATAGGGTCCAGAATAAACAATGCAGGAATTCCTGGCACTAAACTAACATTTCCTCTGCTCATTAGTTATGTTTTCAGGCTTTACAAATGAATTCCATTTTGATTTTTATTCAAATAATGAATTTTTATTCAAACCAAAAAATAGAACATTTAATGTTATGCAATATTATAATAATTGTATAAATATCATCATCACATTTGTGAATGTACATGTATATTAGACCCACCAGCTGGCGTGTATTAGACGTGTGAGGTCGTTTGTTTACTCTTGAACCGACAAAAATTTAACATTTCTGCTACTTTGAGCTCAGTTTCAAGCCATTTCCAGTACTAAAACCAATCAAAATGATCTCTACTTCTGTAATATATCTTCCATTCTATCAAACGAGACTAAGAAATCTCAAATATAACTATAAAAAACATACGAAAGAACACTGCCGTTTTAATAAAAAATCACGGTCTCAGCTTTTTCTCTCTCATTATACACTGTGTGCTGCAGGATTTGTTTTATGTGGTGCACACATATCACATAGATGTATTCTCTCATTATCTAGGCCCAAATTTACCACTCACAGCTTATTAGAGTGAGCTGAGCTCATGGCATAGATGAGCTCATGGCATAGATCTACGGTTTTGGACCCTGAACGTAAAGCCGTACATCTACGGGACGGACCCTGAAAGGGTTAAATCAAGTGGTACCTCCTCTTTAATGCACATATAATCGCTCGCTTGTTTCACACTCAACAAAGCGCTAAAAACTGGTTACTGATTCATTCTGCTTTCAGAGAAAATTGGAGCTATGCTACGCAAAAGAGGAACAACAATTAAATTTCTTCAGTTTCTCTTCTGTTGGTGAGAGATACCTTTTTGTGCAACTCCTAAAATTGAATGAAATTCCAGAAAATTGGTCTGAATGTTACTTAGGAACAGTGTAACAAAATAAAACTTGTGGAGCAAACAATTTCACAACTTTATTATTTTTGGGACCGGTCTAATGCTCACACAAGCCTCCTGGATAATCAAGACCCTAGCACTCTAAACTTCCTTTTACCCCGCTTCCTCCAATTCTTCATGGAATGATCATTACCCCTTCATCATATTACCCAAGCTTTATACACACTCTTGGTCATTCTGTTCTGTTCCAACCTCTTGAAATATCAGCCCTCTGAGTTATACCTCTGATTTTGTATGTAAGGGGTCTGGATGTACAGCAAACATGTGTGAGTGTGTTAGACAGGAGTGAGTGGAGACAAATGGTTTTTGTGACTTGATGTGCTGTTGGAGTTTGAGCACAATAACATTTATGAAGTGATTCAGGGAAACAAGTTAGCAGGATTTGAGTCCTGGAGGTAGGACGTACAGTGCCTGTGCTCTGAAGGAGCACAGGCACTGTACTGTACTGCTGCAGTTCCTGAACTGTAGTATCAGCACGCCTCTGGCAAGACAGTGATGGTGAGTGATGATGATGAAAGGGTTTCTTCTTTTTCGGGTCACCCTACAGTGAGAAACACCCGATGCGTTAAAAAAAAAAAGATGTAATGAAGCTTAAATGCTATAGGCAAAGGCAAATAGTGAGTTTTAATGAAAATTAGGAATATTGTACTGAAAATATAAAAATGTTTTCAAACATGACAGTGCATGATATATTAAAAAGAACAGATTTTATCATGATATTTAATGGTACAAGTTATTGTGACACTTACCTTTGTTCCAACAAAGACCATACAGTTATGACTGAAGGATCGAGATACCAGGTATGCTAGCACTGCTTTTCGATAATCTTCACGGTTTTTACGAATGCGAACAAATTCCTGGCGCAAATTTTTAGCAACATCTGTGTTCTCATTTACAAATATCTGAAACACAAAACATACAGTATAAATATACAGCTGCTACTTGACTTATGATGATTCAACTTTATGATGGTGCAAAAGCAATTAGTTATAGTAATTATTTATTTACTTATTCAGTGTCAGTAGCTATTTATTTACTTATTTATTTAGCATATCATATTCATAGGGAAGTGGAACAGAATTCTTCCTCCGTAAGCCATGCGTGTCGTAAGAGGCGACTAAAATGCCGGGAGCAAGGGGCTAGTAACCCCTTCTCCTGTATACTACTAAATTTAAAAGGAGAAACTTTTGTTTTTCCTTTTGGGCCACCCCACCTCAGTGGGATACGGCTGGTGCGTTGAAAGAAGAAGATTCATATCATACGATATTTTTTACTTAATGGGAGATAAGTGGAAATAAAAAAGAGCAAGAACTAGTAAGAAAAACAGAAGAAAACCCAGAAGGGTGTGTGTATATATATGCTTGTACATGCATGTGTAGTATGACCTAAGTGTAAGTAGAAGTAGCAAGATGTACCTGAAATCTTGCATGTTTTTGAGACAGAAAAAAGACCAGCAATTCTTCCATCATGTAAAACAATTACAGCGGACCCTCATTTTTCGTAAGGCTCGAAAGTCGTAATTTTTGAAAATTGTAATGTTTTTTCATCAAAACATTGGCTTGAAAATTGTTGTTTGACTCGCAAGAGTATGCATGGCCCTGAGCAGCCTCACACTCCATTCCCAGCCAGTGTGCATTGTTTATCAGTGAGCGAGGATGATCCCACGAGTTCATGTGATGCATTTCATAATATTCCATTCGTTTTAGTGCTTGCAACTGCTAAATAAGCCACCATGGCTCCAAAGAAAGCTTCTAGTGCCAGTCTTTTGGTAAAGAATGTGAGAAACACACATAATTTAAGAAAAAGTTTGTAGAAAAATATGAAAGTGGTGGTGGTAGAGTGGTAGCAGTTGTGATAGTGGTAGAGGGTGGTAACAGTTGTGATAGGGGTAGAGGGTGGTAGAAGTTGTGATAGTGGTAGAGGGTGGTAGTGGTTGTGATGGTGGAAGAGGGTGCCTTCTTCAGTGATTCAGTGGTTCTACTAACTCCTCCAATGTTGTTGGAGTTATATAGAGCTACAGAAAACGCCGCCGCCTCAGCTGCTGCTTCACCACCATTATGGATGGCTTATGCTCTCAGTGGCCCTTATACACCCAACATCAACACAACACCTCTCGTGACATACATAATGACTTATTTTATTCATTTTAGAGTATATTCCATGTTTCTATGTTATTAATACTGTTTAATATGTCATATTAGTTGAATTGTGATAGATAAATAAGCCGTAGAGTTGATATTAGGATCATATTCTCCAACAATAAACTTGCCTCCTCTCCCTCTGCCATACACCAACAAGAGTCTTCAATAAAGGTAAGTGTGATGTTAAATGTTCATTTATACATTTTATTAGTGCTTTACATTTATTTGGCATTTTTTTCTGCATGTAAATCTATATTTAAGCTAGGGAAGTGATCTCTGAAGTGACCTAGAGTCCTTATGGACGGGGATTCCCCTTCCAAACAATAACCTCTCTTCCTCTCCCCCTCCTCCCTGTCTTCCATTCATCAACAACAGCCTTCAATAAAGGTAATTGTCATGTTCAATGTTCATTCTTTAGTGCGAATCCATTTTCCCTATAAGAAATAATGCAAATCCAATTAATTCGTTCCAGACACTCATAAGTATCAAAAAAAAATTTATTTTTTGATACTTCTGAGTGTCTGGAACGAATTAATTGGATTTACATTATTTCTTATGGGGAAAATGGATTCGCAAAATGTCAATTTCGATAATAGTCACACTCTTTGGAACGAATTAATTACGAAAAATGAGGGTCCACTGTACAGGCTTTTGTTTTACACTCACATGGCAGGATGGTAGTACCTCCCTGGGCAGTTGCTGTCTACCAACCTACTTCTTCTTTCAACAAACTGGCCGTATCCCACCGAGGCAGGGTGGCCCAAAAAGAAAAATGAAAGTTTCTCTTTTTAAATTTAGTAATTTATACAGGAGAAGAGGTTACTAGCCCCTTGCTCCCGGCATTTTAGTCGCCTCTTACAACACGCACAGCTTATGGAGGAAGAATTCTGTTCCACTTCCCCATGAAGGTAAGAGGAAATAAACAAGAACAAGAACTAGTAAGAAAATAGAAGAAAACCCAGATGGGTGTGTATATATATGCTTGTACATGTATGTGTAGTGTGACCCAAGTGTAAGTAGAAGTAGCAAGACATACCTGAAACCTTGCATGTTTATGAGACAGACAAAAGACACCAGCAATCCTACCGTCATGTAAAACAATTACAGGCTTTCGTTTTACACTCACTTGGCAGGACGGTAGCACCTCCCTGGGCAGCTGCTGTCTACCAACCTATTACCTAGACAATTAAATTTGTCATTTAGCAATACATTAAAAAAATTCCTCTTCCTTTACAATTGTAAAAATAAACTGCTCCTCTAAGTAGTTGTTAAGATTGCTTTTTGCTTTTTGAACACAGGAGCAATCTCCCACCAAGGTAGGGTGACCCAAAAACGAGAAAGAGTTTTTCTTGTTTGTACATTTAGTAATTTAAACAGGAGAAGGGGTTACTAACCCCCTGTTAACAGCTTTTAATCACATCTTATGACATAGATTGTTTTATATATGATTAAAACAGACCTTGACAAACAGGATTTTGATTGTACAGTGGAACCTCGGTTTTCGTCATTAATTCGTTCCAAAAAATCTGATGAAAACTGAAGCAATATTTCCCACAAGAAACAATGTAAATCCAACTAATCTGTTCCGAACACCCAAAAGTATTAACAAAAAACACATTTTATAGAGAATAACTATAGTTTTACATACAGAAAACAATGAGAAATAAATATAAAGGACTAATGAAATGGATAAATGAACATTTAACATCACTTTTACCTTTATTGAAAACTCTTGTTGGCGTATGGATGATGGAGAGGAGGGGAGAGAGAGAGGAGAAGTTATCTCTACCACCATCACTACCACCCTCTATCACAATCACTACCACCCTCTACCACCATCACTACCACCCTCTACCACCATCACTACCACCCTCTACCACCATCACTACCACCCTCTACCACCATCACTACCACCCTCTACTACCATCACTCACCACAATCACTACCACCATCACTACTACCCTCTACCACCATCACTACCACCCTCTACCATCATCACCATTACTACCACCCTCTACCACCATCACTACCACTCTCTACCACCATCACTACCACTCTCTACTACCATCACTACCGCCCTCTACCACCATCACTACCACCCTCTACCATCACTACCACCCTCTACCACCATCACTACCACCCTCTACCACCATCACTACCACCCTCTACCACCACCACTACCACCCTCTAAATTTGTAGAGGGTGTTAGTGATATTTCTCCACAAAACTTTGCAACTCATTCTCTGGGTTCTTTCTTGAATTCTATTGTGTTTCTCGCCTTCTTAATCAAAGGGCTGGCACTCAGAACTTTCTTTGGCCCCATGGTGGCTTATTTAGCAGTCGCACTCAATAAACAAGCACAAAAAACAATGGATGATTAAGCAATGTTTCAGATGAACATGCAGGGTAATGCTCACTTGACGAGAAACAAAGCCAGACTGACTCAGAAAGCGTGGGATGCTTTGTGTGGGAGTGGGCAGACACGCTTGGTACGGCAGACCAGTGTCAACTCAACGAAAACTGGGACAAAATTTTGATGAAAAAAGTTGTTGAAAACCGAATTCGCCAAAATTCAGGGCAAATGAAAACTGAGGCTCCACTGTATATCGATTGTCTTAGGCCAGATGCATTCCTAACTTATGATTATCCTGTCCAACTAACTGTGAAACTGTTTAGGGCAATTTTAAATAAATAATTTTTTGAGACAAGACACTACAGTACCCAAATCAAACAGAACCACACACACATTTTTTTTTTTCAACAAGTCGGCATCCCCCCACCGAGGCAGGGTGACCCAAAAAAGAAAAAAATCCCCAAAAATAAAATACTTTCATCATCATTCAACACTTTCACCACACTCACCAAAATTAAACACTGTTTTTGCCAGAGGTGCTCAGAATACAACAGTTTAGAAGCATATACGTATAAAGATACACAACATATCCCTCCAAACTGCCAATATCCCAAATCCCTCCTTTAAAGTGCAGGCATTGTACTTTCCATTTCCAGAACTCAAGTCCGACTATATGAAAATAACCGCTTTCCCTGAACCCCTTCACTAAATATTACCCTGCTCACACTCCAACAGATCATCAGGTCCCAAGTATCATTCGTCTCCATTCACTCCTATCTAACACGCTCATGCACGCTTGCTGGAAGTTCAAGCCCCTCGCCCACAAAACCTCCTTTACCCCCTCTTTCCAACCCTTTTGAGGACGACCCCTACCCCTCCTTCCTTCCCCTATAGATTTATATGCTTTCCACGTCATTCTACTTTGATCCATTCTCTCTAAATGACCAAACCACCTCAACAACCCCTCTTCTGCCCTCTGACTAATGCTTTTAACTCCACACCTCCTAATTTCCACACTCCGAATTTTCTGCATAATATTTACACCACACATTGCCCTTAGACAGGACATCTCCACTGCCTCCAACCGCCTCCTCGCTGCTGCATTTACCACCCAAGCTTCACATCCATATAAGAGTGTTGGTACTACTATACTTTCATACATTCCCTTCTTTGCCTCCATAGATAACGTTTTTTGACTCCACATATACCTCAACGCACCACTCACCTTTTTTCCCTCATCAATTCTATGATTAACCTCATCCTTCATAAATCCATCCGCCGACACGTCAACTCCCAAGTATCTGAAAACATTCACTTCTTCCATACTCCTCCTCCCCAATTTGATATCCAATTTTTCTTTATCTAAATCAATTGATACCCTCATCACCTTACTCTTTTCTATGTTCACTTTCAACTTTCTACCTTTACACACATTCTCAAACTCATCCACTAACCTTTGCAATTTTTCTTTAGAATCTCCCATAAGCACAGTATCATCAGCAAAAAGTAACTGTGTCAATTCCCATTTTGAATTTGATTCCCCATAATTTAACCCCACCCCTCTCCCGAACACCCTAGCATTTACTTCTTTTACAACCCCATCTATAAATATATTAAACAACCATGGTGACATTACACATCCCTGTCTAAGACCAACTTTTATCGGGAAGTAGTCTCCCTCTCTTCTACACACCCTAACCTGAGCCTCACTATCCTCATAAAAACTCTTTACAGCTTTTAGTAACTTACCACCTATTCCATATACTTGCAACATCTGCCACATTGCTCCTCTATCCACTCTATCATATGCCTTTTCTAAATCCATAAATGCAATAAAAACTTCCCTACCTTTATCTGAATACTGTTCACATATATGCTTCAATGTAAACACTTGATCTACACATCCCCTACCCACTCTGAAGCCTCCCTGCTCATCCACAATCCTACATTCTGTCTTACCTCTAATTCTTTCAATTAAAACCCCTACCGTATACTTTTCCTGGTATACTCAGTAAACTTATTCCTCTATAATTTTTACAATCTCTTCTGTCCCCTTTCCCTTTATATAAAGGGACTATACATGCTCTCCGCCAATCCCTAGGTACCTTCCCCTCTTTCATACATTTATTAAACAAAAGTACCAACCACTCCAACACTATATCCCCCCTGCTTTTAACATTTCTGTCATGATCCCATCAGTTCCAGCTGCTTTACCCCCTTTCATTCTATGTAATGCCTCACGTACTTCCCCCACATTTACATTCTGCTCTTCTTCACTCCTAAAAGATGGTATACCTCCCTGGCCAGTGCATGAAATTACCGCCTCCCTTTCTTCCTCAACATTTAGAAGTTCCTCAAATTATTCTCGCCATCTACCTAATACCTCCCTTTCCCCATCTACTAATTCCCCTACTCTGTTTTTAACTGACAAATCCATACTTTCCCTAGGCTTTCTTAACTTGTTTATCTCACTCCAAATTTTTTTCTTATTTTCATTAAAATTTCTTGACAGTGCCTCTCCCACTCTATTATCTGCTCTCCTTTTGCACTCTCTCACCACTCTCTTCACATTTCTTTTACTCTCCATATACTCTGCTCTTCTTACAACACTTCTGCTTTGTAAAAACCTCTCATAAGCTACCTTTTTCTCTTTTATCACACCCTTTACTTCATCATTCCACCAGTCACTCCTCTTTCCTCCTGCCCCCACCCTCCTATAACCACAAACTTCTGCCCCACGTTCTAATACTGCATTTTTAAAACTATTCCAACCCTCTTCAACCCCCCCACTACTCATCTTTGCACTAGCCCACCTTTCTGCCAATAGGCACTTATATTTCACCTGAACTTCCTCCTCCCTTAGTTTATACACATATAACAGCAAAATTAATTTTTTCGATCCTTGAACTAACAAATTCCAAAATTTCAGTGTTGATGTGTAAAACAAATGGGAAAAAAATTAATTCTAGAAAAAAAAAAAGAAAAAAAGAGAGCAGTAATGTGAATGTGCAAGAACACAAGTAGAAATAAACTCTTTATAATCCTTTACCTCTTATTAAAAAAAAAAAAATCAGAAAAAAATTATATGAATGATATTGGTAACAAACATGCAAGAATGAATTCATGAATTACAGTATTTATCACATACAAACCTTTGCAATAGAATATACAATATTCCAAAAAAACATATATATGAAAAAATAATGAAATTTATATAAAAGATTCTAACCTTGACTGGGTTCTTAAGAGAGACAAGGGCCAACTCCTTAACCTTGGAGGTCATTGTTGCTGAGAAGAGCATGGTCTGACGATTTCCCGAACACTGCTGGATAATTTCTTTCATCTGTTCATCAAAACTGTCGTCCAACATTCTATCTGCTTCATCCAACACCAAGATCTGCTTAAAAAAGACCACTAATAAACTTTTGCAGTTCCCATACAAATCAGAATATGCGTACGAGAGAAATCTTAAAAAAAAATAGTTAAAAATGTGATCATAAGATCACCCCATCTCCAATCACTGTCTTAACCCTTAAACGGTCCAAACGTATATATACGTTTTTTCAACATCTGAAAGTATGTAAAAAAATGTAGATCTACTTTTGGAGCACGAGGAATTTGAAAGTCGATCTGTTTGGACCGTTTAAGGGTTAAAAGACAATGACTAAAGGTCTTTTTACTTAGAAAGCCAATTTTTTATTCCCCTTCCCTCTCCTCCCCTTAAAATGCATTTTAAAGAGTAAGTTTGATATAAAAATTATGATAATTTATGAGTTTCTGCACAAAATATTATCAAAGTTATATCAAAGGTAATTCTGATATTTAGAGGCTTGCGTGCCAGGGTTGGTGCCGTACTAGTACGCGTAAAATTCTAGCGGCTTCCAATTAAGCAGGAAACAGCTGGTAGTCCTAGATGTGAGAGAATGGGTCTGCGTGGCTAGTGTGCACAGTAGGAAAAAATTCAGGGACCTAGTGGTGCATTGTGGGAATGCCATTTTAGTACACCTTGCTCACCATGCCTCGCGGTAAGAAACTCCTTGGCGAATTGGGACACTTTCGTTCCCCAGTGACAGTTCTAAAACAGATAGAAGTGTCAGTGATGATGAGTTTCAAGGTTTTGATGAGGTTGTGACTGAAACTAATGACCATAATACCGGTAATAGTGAGGAAAATCCAGATGACCCTCAACCTTCCACCTCTGGTGCTGGGCCGTCTTGTTCACGTTCATTTGTACCAGAACGAAAGAGGAAACTCTTATTTTCCCATATCCAGACTCAGATGTGGC